GTACTATATAACATTTTAGACACATTCTAGGCAGTTTATCAGCTAAAAAAGTTAATTTTGGGGTAAGTTACTTGTTAATGTTGATAGTGTTCGATAGAAAATAGTGTCACTAGCGCCCCCTTCATTTCCGGAATGCAATAGTCCCATTTCCATATAAGGTATGGGACCGACGGAAAGGTCTGTCACCGCCCCGAGCTGCATGCTGCAGCGAAGTGTACTTGGACGCATTGGCGCTCGCTGTCTGCCCCATAAATAACTGGGCCGTGGGGCCGCCATCTTGGAACGGTCGCCAGGTCCCCATCAGTAGTGCTGGTCAGCGCCAGCGGTCCATATGTCAGCTAGTCTTTTTATGATATCTGTGCCTGGCAGCCACTGACGAACCGAAAAAGAGAAAGAGGGAGAAAAGTGAGCGCGTGAAATTAACAAAAGTATTAAAAAGAAAACAGAAAGGGATAAATGAAGCAGAGAAACTAAGGGGAGTTTGTGCAAGATGCAGCCAAACACATTTTCTGTGACTGAGGGGCCGATCAGCCAGACCAGTGATAACCTAAGATGACACGGACTGATCCGCATGGATCGGGCATAGATGCAACAGGTTAGCACAGAGGTTCTCAAACTGGGGTCCCTCGACCCCCAGGGGTCCGCGAGAGGTATCTTGGGGGTCCTCAGAATTTTTTACTAAAATGTTAATTTGGTTTTTATTTTTAAAAATGCATGGAGAACAATGAACTAATAAAACAAACATAACAAACTTTATAAAAATATTTAATCCCATGGCATTTAGGGGTTAAAATGACAATAAATTACCTTTTAAAACAGCATTTGGTTTATGAGGGGGTCCCTGGAATTTTTTTCGCCCTTGTAAGGGGTCCCCAGACCCGAATGGAACCCCTAGCAGCACTACCCATCATCCCAGATTTGGTTTATATGCGTACACAGCCTATCAGGAATTTTTTTAAACCAAAAATCTTTACTCTACTTTAATGATTAAAACTAATCCATGCTGACTGACCATAAGAACATACATTTCAGGAAATAATCTGTTTTCCTGTACTGTTTCTACATATACAACTATTTTTACCAGGTCGAGTAAGAGAGTGGAGAAAAAAAACCCCACTGCTCCTGGCCTCGAACAAATGATTCTCTTGTGACATTTTTGATTAAACCTAAATAGTGAAATGCTTGTCACTGAATGCTACAGTTACTCAAAACACGACATGTATTCAAGAAAGTGTAACCAGGTCAATGAAGTAGTTATGTACAGTCATTTAGAGTAGAGTGTAGCCAACAGGGTGCAGACGTTCTGTTGTCTGTATTTTGTGGTGGGGATGACCGCTCCAACATGGCGGCCTTATTTCTTGAGCCCAGCGGCAAATGCGGAGCTTACTCTCTTCATGGCTGTGATGTCCCCATGTTTTGTGGTCTACAGCGACCCCTGCTGGACAGATTAAGTGATTGCTGTGGTCCTCATGTTTTAACAAAACGAGGGCTGCTGTTCACAAAACTATCGTAAAATAGTTTTTATTTTCTTTCAGGACATTTTGTATTTGCGGTACAACACTAAAAAGGAAACGTTCCGAAATATTCTGCTACTTATTTATTTTGCTGTGCAAGAGCTTTTCAGTGCTGCTTCAGTATATTTGCACATCAATAATAAAAAAGCTAATGAAATAATCCCAATCTAAACTTTCAGATTGCAAAACAGCTAGTTAACTGGACTGAAATCAATTTTTGTCATTTTTAAAAAAAAAAATTTCTCTGTAAAACATTTCATCAATCAAAAAAATTTGAGTGCTACACTTGAATTATTAATTGGACATTACTATAT